ACAACTATGAGTTCAAACTGGGCTCAACGTCACTGGCTTCTGGAAGTAGCAGCACATATTCCATAAGCGCTGCAACTATCGGCGCAGATGATGGCAGCTACACCTGTATTGTGTCCATCGACACCGTGGCCTCAGATGCCAGTACTGCCGTGGTCGTTGCGCGTGAGTAGAGCAGTATTATATTTGGACTGTGAGTGTGTCTGTGTCTGTATCGAATACAAAAGTGGGCACGCCGGGGAAAATGTGTGTTGTGTTTACGCGTGACGTTGATTTTTGACAAATTGTTTTCTTCCGTTTTCACATTTCTGTTTGTTAAGTTTAAGGTTCTTGCTGGTGGAATGTGGGAGGGGTCTTAAGGACTTAATGAATGAGGGTTTTTTTTAGACAGAAAGAAGAGGAAAGTTTATGCCTTAGTTTTGATGAAAACACGAGTGATGATTTGACAGTGGGTTTTCATAAGTAGATTTACTCGTGTGTACATAGCTAGCCTGACTAGGAAATGGCTTTTGCGTTGGCATGGAGGGAATCTGGGATGAGCCATTCATCCATTCGATGACAGAGGGAAATGGAACATTAGCTCATGAGTAGGGGGATATAGCAGTACTGGTTGAGTAAGCTGCGTAGAAGACATTGTGATGGGTGTTTGAGGAGAAGCGTTTGACTGTGATTGAAAGCATGTTTTTTTTCTGGTTTCAGTGCGTCCCAAGACACCAACCCTGAGCAGAGCTCCTACAGATGCTACCATTGAGAGCGGCACATCTGTGACGTTGACATGTGCAACACTGAGCAGTGGAGTTGTGACCTACACATTTTCACAGGGCAGCACCCAGGTTCAAAGCGGCTCCAGCGCCACATACGATTTGGCAAGTGCTGCCACCTCAGACACTGGGTCTTACACGTGTATTGCCAGCATCAGTTCAGTGGACTCCGTTGCCAGCAACACAGAGACCATGACAGTTGTCGGTGAGTATGATGTCAAGTTCTAGGAGGGTAGGGAATAAGGAAGAGAGATGAGACTGAGAGAGGAGTATTTTGTCCCTTTGTGACACGGTTGACAGAAAAGAAGGATGGAAGAGGAACCTCCATGTGATGTTGTCTGCTGTAGGCCTACGTGCTGGCTAGAAGCAGCGTGGTTGAGCATACTCTTCTGTTTGTTTCCTCAGATAAACCAACGACGCCCACTTTGGCTACCGACAATAGTGACCCAACGGATGGCGATGCCATAACACTGACGTGTACAGCCACAGAGGCCGCGGTAAACAACTATGAGTTCAAACTGGGCTCAACGTCACTGGCTTCTGGAAGTAGCAGCACATATTCCATAAGCGCTGCAACTATCGGCGCAGATGATGGCAGCTACACCTGTATTGTGTCCATCGACACCGTGGCCTCAGATGCCAGTACTGCCGTGGTCGTTGCGCGTGAGTAGAGCAGTATTATATTTGGACTGTGAGTGTGTCTGTGTCTGTATCGAATACAAAAGTGGGCACGCCGGGGAAAATGTGTGTTGTGTTTACGCGTGACGTTGATTATGGACAAATTGTTTTCTTCCGTTTTCACATTTCTGTTTGTTAAGTTTAAGTTTCTTGCTGGTGGAATGTGGGAGGGGTCTTAGGGACTTGATGAATGAGGCTTATTTTAGACAGAAAGAAGAGGAAAGTTTATGCCTTAGTTTTGATGAAAACACGAGTGATGGTTTGACAGTGGGTTTTCAGAAGTAGATTTACTCGTGTGTACATAGCTAGCCTGACTAGGAAATGGCTTTTGCGTTGGCATGGAGGGAATCTGGGATGAGCCATTCATCCATTCGATGACAGAGGGAAATGGAACATTAGCTCATGAGTAGGGGGATATAGCAGTACTGGTTGAGTAAGCTGCGTAGAAGACATTATGATGGGTGTTTGAGGAGAAGCGTTTGACTGTGATTGAAAGCATGTTTTTTTCTGGTTTCAGTGCGTCCCAAGACACCAACCCTGAGCAGAGCTCCTACAGATGCTACCATTGAGAGCGGCACATCTGTGACGTTGACATGTGCAACACTGAGCAGTGGAGTTGTGACCTACACATTTTCACAGGGCAGCACCCAGGTTCAAAGCGGCTCCAGCGCCACATACGATTTGGCAAGTGCTGCCACCTCAGACACTGGGTCTTACACGTGTATTGCCAGCATCAGTTCAGTGGACTCCGTTGCCAGCAACACAGAGACCATGACAGTTGTCGGTGAGTATGATGTCAAGTTCTAGGAGGGCAGGGAATAAGGAAGAGAGATGAGACTGAGAGAGGAGTATTTTGTCCCTTTGTGACACGGTTGACAGAAAAGAAGGATGGAAGAGGAACCTCCATTTGATGTTGTCTGCTGTAGGTTTACGTGCTGGTGAGAAGCAGCGTGGTTGAGCATACTCTTCTGTTTGTTTCCTCAGATAAACCAACGACGCCCACTTTGGCTACCGACAATAGTGACCCAACGGATGGCGATGCCATAACACTGACGTGTACAGCCACAGAGGCCGCGGTAAACAACTATGAGTTCAAACTGGGCTCAACGTCACTGGCTTCTGGAAGTAGCAGCACATATTCCATAAGCGCTGCAACTATCGGCGCAGATGATGGCAGCTACACCTGTATTGTGTCCATCGACACCGTGGCCTCAGATGCCAGTACTGCCGTGGTCGTTGCGCGTGAGTAGAGCAGTATTATATTTGGACTGTGAGTGTGTCTGTGTCTGTATCGAATACAAAAGTGGGCACGCCGGGGAAAATGTGTGTTGTGTTTACGCGTGACGTTGATTATGGACAAATTGTTTTCTTCCGTTTTCACATTTCTGTTTGTTAAGTTTAAGTTTCTTGCTGGTGGAATGTGGGAGGGGTCTTAGGGACTTGATGAATGAGGCTTATTTTAGACAGAAAGAAGAGGAAAGTTTATGCCTTAGTTTTGATGAAAACACGAGTGATGGTTTGACAGTGGGTTTTCAGAAGTAGATTTACTCGTGTGTACATAGCTAGCCTGACTAGGAAATGGCTTTTGCGTTGGCATGGAGGGAATCTGGGATGAGCCATTCATCCATTCGATGACAGAGGGAAATGGAACATTAGCTCATGAGTAGGGGGATATAGCAGTACTGGTTGAGTAAGCTGCGTAGAAGACATTATGATGGGTGTTTGAGGAGAAGCGTTTGACTGTGATTGAAAGCATGTTTTTTTCTGGTTTCAGTGCGTCCCAAGACACCAACCCTGAGCAGAGCTCCTACAGATGCTACCATTGAGAGCGGCACATCTGTGACGTTGACATGTGCAACACTGAGCAGTGGAGTTGTGACCTACACATTTTCACAGGGCAGCACCCAGGTTCAAAGCGGCTCCAGCGCCACATATGATTTGGCAAGTGCTGCCACCTCAGACACTGGGTCTTACACGTGTATTGCCAGCATCAGTTCAGTGGACTCCGTTGCCAGCAACACAGAGACCATGACAGTTGTCGGTGAGTATGATGTCAAGTTCTAGGAGGGTAGGGAATAAGGAAGAGAGATGAGACTGAGAGAGGAGTATTTTGTCCCTTTGTGACACGGTTGACAGAAAAGAAGGATGGAAGAGGAACCTCCATGTGATGTTGTCTGCTGTAGGTTTACGTGCTGGTGAGAAGCAGCGTGGTTGAGCATACTCTTCTGTTTGTTTCCTCAGATAAACCAACGACGCCCACTTTGGCTACCGACAATAGTGACCCAACGGATGGCGATGCCATAACACTGACGTGTACAGCCACAGAGGCCGCGGTAAACAACTATGAGTTCAAACTGGGCTCAACGTCACTGGCTTCTGGAAGTAGCAGCACATATTCCATAAGCACTGCAACTATCGGCGCAGATGATGGCAGCTACACCTGTATTGTGTCCATCGACACCGTGGCCTCAGATGCCAGTAGCGCCGTGGTCGTTGCGCGTGAGTAGAGCAGTATTATATTTGGACTGTGAGTGTGTCTGTGTCTGTATCGAATACAAAAGTGGGCACGCCGGGGAAAATGTGTGTTGTGTTTACGCGTGACGTTGATTTTTGACAAATTGTTTTCTTCCGTTTTCACATTTCTGTTTGTTAAGTTTAAGTTTCTTGCTGGTGGAATGTGGGAGGGGTCTTAGGGACTTAATGAATTAGGCTTTTCTTTTAGACAGAAAAAAGAGGAAAGTTTATGCCTTAGTTTTGATGAAAGCACGAGTGATGGTTTGACAGTGGGTTTTCAGAAGTAGATTTACTCGTGTGTACATAGCTAGCCTGACTAGGAAATGGCTTTTGCGTTGGCATGGAGGGAATCTGGGATGAGCCATTCATCCATTCGATGACAGAGGGAAATGGAACATTAGCTCATGAGTAGGGGGATATAGCAGTACTGGTTGAGTAAGCTGCGTAGAAGACATTGTGATGGGTGTTTGAGGAGAAGCGTTTGACTGTGATTGAAAGCATGTTTTTTTCTGGTTTCAGTGCGTCCCAAGACACCAACCCTGAGCAGAGCTCCTACAGATGCTACCATTGAGAGCGGCACATCTGTGACGTTGACATGTGCAACACTGAGCAGTGGAGTTGTGACCTACACATTTTCACAGGGCAGCACCCAGGTTCAAAGCGGCTCCAGCGCCACATACGATTTGGCAAGTGCTGCCACCTCAGACACTGGGTCTTACACGTGTATTGCCAGCATCAGTTCAGTGGACTCCGTTGCCAGCAACACAGAGACCATGACAGTTGTCGGTGAGTATGATGTCAAGTTCTAGGAAAGTAGGGAATAGTGAGTAGAGAAGAGAGAAATAAAATTTGCCCAACGTAGGAAAAGTTTTGGTTTCCTCAAATTCATAATTTTGACGAAATTCTGGTTTCATCACAATGCCTCACATTTATGTTTTAGTGCGTAATATTTAATAGCTCGTCCGCCAATGTGTGACGATAACTATTACACCTGCAGAGGATAATATTTCTGTGGGGAAATAGACAAATTCGAAGAATTAAAGGTTACAGATGTCTTGTGGCTTCTGCCATGGCCGATGTGACCACTTCTGGCAGAGAAATCAGTAGCTGCAGGTGTTACGAAATGGGTGTGTTTACTTCACAGCCAAATGCTCTCCTTCTTCCTTGCTCCTGACAGGATGGCAATTTCATAATGAAACATACCAGTGCGAAATGTTGGATATTATATTGACACATTTTGTCCATTCTATATGTACATGATGTTTTTTCCAGGTATTTCAACACCAAAAAAATCATTACTCAGCGCACTCCAAGCAGTATGTCAGTCTTCTGTCTAGACCAACCTTTTCTATGAATGCCCCAGGTTGTTAGCAGATTTCAGTAATCTGATCTTGTTAAACTGCATTATGTTTATAACATTGTATACGGATGACCAAGAAACTAGCACAGGTCTATATCTGTCTTAAGTGGTTTCATTCTTTTTTTTTTAAAGCAAATTTACTGGCAAATTAGGTGGGGAAACCAGGTATCCTGTGTCAAGGGCAAGTACTTTTTTTCTGGGTATGAAGAGGTTTTCGATTCGAAAATTAGAATAAAGTAAACAACCATCAGCCCTTACGGTAGTCGGCTTTCTGGCTGTGCAATATTAAAACACTAAGAGTTTATTGGACGACATTGATAGCAGTACTTCTACTACTTTTCAAAGCCCACATTAAATGTAATAATAATAGATTACATTTATATAGCGCAGATCTCGGCTTAACGGCAAGCTCTATGCACTTTACAATCTATTATACTATTAACCCAGGAGGCCTGAGAGCATTCTGAAACAAATTCAACTTCCTGGGAAGCATACAGTGCAAACTGCCATTTATGGGTGCTAAAACACTAACATTCTAACAAGATCTTTCACTTTCAGTAATACCAGACCACTTACCCTGCAACACTTCAATGATATTTTAAAGTATCGTATTTCTTTTTTGTCGGACAGCCGTTATCAGCAAGCCGTACATTACGAGAAGCCTGGCTGTTGTGGGTGAAGGTGATGACGTCACACTGACCTGCAACACAGACTCCTCGCCCGTCTCTGCCTTCACGTACTCGTGGGTAAAAGACGCAGGTAGCCCACTCTCTGAGACTGGCAGGGACTTAACGATCACTGGAGCATCTCAGGGCACAGATGGGGGCAGCTACACCTGTACCATTTCTGAGACTTTTTCGTCCGACACCAGTAATGGATACACTTTAACAATCTACGGTAGGTGAAATTGTGAAGTCAGTTGTATCTTGTCCTGTTCTTTTCTTTTGCCTTCATGTATATTTTTGTGCCGTACTTTTTATGGGAACACATTCGGTCATAGCTCCAGAGTTATTCGTGCATCTAGAGTAGGATTATGCCATATGTGATGTCGATACGTCATGTATGTTTCTTTCTCATATGCACATGTATGACAAGGGAAACCGGACTAATACAATATGTAACTCTCAATAATCTAGAAAATGTGTACCACTGTCCAACAGGAAATTATAGCTAATGGTATATGCATCATTGGCTGCTCCCCTCTCACTCCTAACCTATCCTCATTATGCATAAATACAGATGTCAAACTGTTAAATCCTTTAGGCATGAAAAGACGTAGACCTTCGGGCACTGCAGCCGTCTGCTCACCTCCCCTCAAATGTGAAAAAAGTATACACGAACTTTTAATGTTTGAGTCTCTAGATCTAGATCTAGATTCTAGTGCATTTGTTTTTCGTTTAATCATAATCCCTGCCTTTCCCCCATCATCAGCCCACTCCTATACCCACCTCTGTCAGCCGTCTTATGTTTCTGAAACACCTTTTATGAAATATTTTTTTGCCTCGTAGAAGGTTCAGCTGGCCCAAGAGATAAGGAATCCTCAATACGCTTTGTGTCCATCCTGAAGATTCTCGAAATATTCGCGAAAGATTAGTCTCTAAACATGATAATCTAACAGTGAATGCGAATGTGAGTGAAGCTGAAACTCTATCCGACAAGTTCACTTCCTCACAGCCCACAGCAATACACGGGATGCCACATAAATTGATTCTGTTAATGCACCACACGGTTTCCTGACTTATAACTTTCCTTTCAGTAGTATTTGCATTTGACTTAATAATTACTAAGGGTATAAATCAGTCTACAACTGCCCTGTGGGCTCATCGTATATCGGTGCACGAATTCTTGAACTCCTGTCTCTTAATAGAGAATGTTATTGTACTTTAAGGCTGACAACTTTCCCCACAGCCGTGCCTGAGAAGCCTATCATCACCGTGACCCCAGGGTCAATCAGTGCCAACGACCACGTGACCTTGATCTGTTCGTCCAGCTCTTTCTCCACTCTCAGCCTCACCTACGAGTGGTTTCAGGACAATGACCCCCGCTCCGAGACAGACAGGGTGTTGACTTTGCCTGCCTTCACTCCGGCCACTGACAGTGGTATCTACACGTGTGCAGCCATCCATTCTGGGGTCAAATCTGCATACAGTGACGCGAGGGTGGTAGCGCTGAGTGGTAAGCAAAAAAAACCCAACAATTGATTTTCGAGCATAAGAGAACAGTAACCTCTAACGTTTTTTCGACAGCAGACAATAATATCTCAAAATGAGACTTAGCTTTCTAGACGTGGATCCAAAATTATAACCAAGATCGATAATACGGAGTAAAAATAAAATCATTATTAAGTCTTGGTGTAAATATATGACTATGATTTACTGCATGTTATTATTTGTTTACTTATTTTGTTTAAACGTGTAATTATATGCGTATACACTATCAGTGAATGCCCGTGACTTTAGTAATGTAGAAATGTGTCGGCATTACATGCCGTTTTCTCGTACCTCTTTTATTTAACAGCTTTGGTTTTTGTCTCATTTATTGAGGTTTGTACCAGTCTGCAGTATTCATAGAGAACCGTCTACATGTTTTAGCGATATGCTACTGTGTATATGGAATGACCGGCATAACAAATGCCCAGTATTACGCAACTATTTGATCATAATACACTTTACTTGACGTGTCCCATTTTAAGATATTACGGCACCATTTCTCTTACAAAATTTAATTAAAGAATGCCACTAATCCGTTTATAAATGTTGATCAGGTTTTTAGAAATATTTGTTTCTGTTCCCTACAAAGATCAATGCCAATTCATACCTCACAACTTTTTAAAGTACCATAATTTATTGAAAAGAAATTACAGTCAAATTGAAAAACACTCCAATCAGCTATCCATTTCCACCCCCGCCTTGAAAAAAGAAAAACAACTACAACAATACAAAAAGACCTTTTTCAAAAGCACCAGTTCATTTTAATGTATTCTTCAAGTACTGTGCACGAGAAGAATTTCAACATCTAAAAAAACTTTATATAGACCTACATATATAATTATGTCATTTAACTGTTAATAGATCTAGTACGCATTGGTACCCTGAACAAAGTATCTCGTCTTTGAACTTGCAACAGGAGCACCTGCACAGCCCAGCCTGACAGTGGCCCCCAGTAGTTTCGCAATTGGCGACTCTGTCACTCTGGAATGCTCCACCACCACCAGCGCCATCACTACGTTTTCTTACTCCAAAAACGGGGGGACTGTGAGTGGAGAATCAGCCAGCACTCTCGTTATATCTTCTTTTGCCTCGACCGACACCGGAGGGTACTCCTGTAAAGCTATCTCTGGCTCAGGTGAAGAGTCTGTGGCTAGTGTCGAGGTGCAAGTCGCCCCATCAGGTGAGACTCCCTCCCCCCAAAATCATGCATTATTTTTTAAGAGCCTGAACTTACAATAAGTATAATGAAAATTGCGTGTACTTTTAGAATTTAGTTGTTCACGTGTCAGTTCCTGATGTTTGGAAAATGAGGTATGTCTTACGAATTTGGAGCCGCATTCATACGAAATCGCTTTCCTTATTGTTCTTTATTATAAGTCGGTGACGCAGTGGCTAAGCCGTAAGATCATGGGTTCGAATCCCGTCAGGGGCCCGACGTTGTGTTCCTGGAAAAGGCACTTAACACAAATTTTCCTCACTTAACCCTGAAGGGAATGTGTATCTGGATACTGATTAAGAAAGTTCTTGTCAGTTTGTTAGTATTTGAACATTTGGTCAGCTGCTTGCGCTGTGTGCTTCCCGGAAAGCCACGAATGTTCCTGTGTGTTCTGGGGTCTACTGGGATAACAATATAGCTGTAAACACAATAGAGGTTACTGTCGTGCAGGGATAGTATGCGCTATACCAATTATACTATTTTATTATTATAAATTCAAATGAAATAGCTGGGTGCACTGTCTACCAATGTCTTCAAAGTCTTTTTTGGAAATTATGTCAGGCTTTATCTTTGACTATTCGAAAATTCCCACTCTAGGTGCGTCACTAGAAATCGAAAGTGTTGCCGTGTGTCTAGTACCACTCACACGTGTATCTCCTTCCTCGCGTTCAATCTCACTGTCCATGGAATCACTTTCTTCTTTGGAATATATATTTTTTAAAAAGAATTTCTGAGGCCGTTTGTTTATTCATAACATTAGCAGATGGCCAAATAAGTGGATAAGCCGTTTTGAATAAAGACAGAAGTTGAGAATGAACTTACGGAGACGACAACAACAAACTCCATCGTTTTTAGCTCTCGCAAACTTTGTTGACCTACTTTGCTTTATCTCACAGGATATACATTATGGAACTTACTCTTCTGCGTTGAAACTGCAAGCTGGTGAGCGAATAAGTGGAGGGATAAATCCAAGATAACGGCCCAAACTGTCGAATTGATTTATTCCCGAACAAATCGAGAATGACACAACTTGGTCATTCTTTGTATCTCTTCATAGTTATATCTCCCTTCAGACAAAACGGACTAACAAGCTAGAACCCCACTTTTTCACTTGTAAAATTGGACGTTGCTATAAAGCTGAAGATCGGAGTATGTGATGTAGCGGTTCGGCACTTCATCGTTGCTCACAGAACGCCTAGGTACGATTCCAATGTGGAGAGAATTATTTCCGATTGTCTCGGTTTTTCTCCAGGGACGATGTAGACTCTATCCCTCTCAGTTTGAGTTGGTCCTGACAGGCAGGGACGAAGTCGACTCCTTAATCATGTAAATTGTGTTGATGTCCGTCGACGTTTAAGACCTACGCAATGAGGCATAATATTATAACCACCTACATTAAGAAAGAATAGAGTTGAAAGTTGTTGGTACATGTATCATGTATAGATCTAGTGCGGTTTTAAGAGCAGACGTGCGTTACAAGTACAGAGCTACGACTCCCTAAAGAAGTTCTACACTAATCTTATCTGGCAGAGACGTTAAGTGTAGATCTACTGAATGAGCAGAAGAAAAAAATATAACTTACTCCCTGTGGTAATTTTCATTTGCACAGGGACACCAGACAAACCTGTGGTCACAGTGAGCTCAGAGACGTTCATGGACGGCACTGATGTGACCTTGACCTGCACAAGTACTTCCACGGGAACCAAGAGCTACCAATGGTAAAACACTGTATTTAGAATTAACCTACCTTAGAATTTAAAGTTCTATCTGCTCGGTACCTAATTTTGAGAAATTTGACGTAAAATAATATTTTGAGTTTCACAACATGTCAAGTTTTTTCGAATGCCATTATTTGAATATCTTGAGAAGGACTCCGAAAAATCTTACGATTTTGATAGAGCAAATAGAACACTCGGGTTGTGACCTCATGGTCTTAGTAACTCAAAACGGCCAAACATGTCAGATACCATTTTGTAATTCTAAGGCAACGAAGTTTGAATAATGAACAACTTTGCTGTTTCCCAAAGGGATTCATCCATAGTTTTTTTGCAATCAAAAGTACACTCTCTTATGGATAATCTCGGCTGGTAGTCTCAAGGCAATGTACCAGTGGCCTAAATGTAATGTTATCATAGCACGTCCGCCAATGTCTCATATTGACCAGTGTGTCTGCTGAGGAGAATCTTAAATTTTCTTTAGAGAAATAGAAGCAATAAGGATTAAAATGACTTGTGGCTTTTGTTATGGCTTGTGAGACTAAGTCTGGGAGAAAGAGGTTGGCCACATTTTGAGCAAACGTTTTAATTTAACCTTAGTATTGTAGCATGAGCCTATGTCTGTTTCTTTAATTATTATAATTATTTTGACAATTTGGCAGCTAGAAAAGACAGTACATTAACGTCTTTATTATGACCTTATTTCTTGGCACCCTTTTGTTTTCCAATGCTCTAGAGGGAAATCTGACAGTTCTATTGCTTTATTGACGAAAAAAGCAATCAAGCTAAAACGCCACTTTTTTAAAGTTCGCCAACAAAACGAATTCTGTCAACGAATTTTTTTTTAAGGCTTTATTGTTAGAACGCCTGGTTTATTGAAAAGCTGACAGAACGCCTTTTGTACTATTTGTTTATTCTCAAAGAAAAAAAACAATGATGAAATGAATTTCTGAGGAGCACAGGGATGACATTCTCGCCAGGATGCGAGAGTAACAGTTGATGTTATGTGCAAAATCGTTCAGATACAAGAAAACCAAAAATCGTTGAAGCCGCTGTGAATAAAATAAAGGTGTTTTGTCCACGACAGCGTCAAACATAAACACTATTAACGTACTATACCAGGCCCACGGGCCGCATACCACCCTGTGCGAGATGACAGCGGAACAGCATTTCAAAGCCATGTGCTCGT